TAATATTATATATAATTTAATATATTAAATAAATATTATATATTATAATTATATAATATTATAATGTATATTAAAATTATATATTATATATAATATTGTCTTAAATAAGGATTTTAATTTCAAAATTAAAGATTTTCTTAAATAATTTTTGTACAAACTTGTTATAATATCAAATTTCGAAAATACTTTCCTAAAAATAATTTATACACCTACATTGTTATTTAATTTATTATTAATTTTTACTGAAATATCATACAACGAGATAGATAAATTTATAAAAGTTATTTTTGAAAAAAAAAAAGAAAAAAAGAAACATACGATTAGACTTTTGATGATGGGTTAGGTCCTTTTGTAAAGTCCATCGATTCCAACGACCGGTGGGTGCGAGAATGTAAATGCAAAGGTTTGCTTGGTTGCTTGCTTGCTTGCTTGCTTGCTTCCGTATCGACCTTGACCCTTGAATATCCCTCTCGCATATCGCGAGTAAAACGAATTCACGATTTATTTCTAGGATTAAAAGTTATATATATACGAAATTATAAGAAAAAAAAAAAAAAATACAAAATAAAACATACGATTCGACATCTTTTTAATGTTTAATCTATTATCTCGTGACGAATTTAAAATTCATTAAAATTCATTTAAATATATATATATATCAAATTATTTTTTTTATATATAAAAATAAAAAATAGAAAGAAAGAATAATACAATTTTTAATATATTTGAGAAGAATCTCATTTATCTCTTTCTCTCTTTCTCTCTCTCTCTCTTTTTTTTTTTTTTCATTAGAATTCAAATAAAAATTTAATTCGATTTAATGCTCGTGCAATATTACTTCGCACATTATAAGAAAGTGATTGGTAATAAATTTCATAATATTGTTAGACGTCGTATTTATTTAATATTTTTATGATGGCAATTAAATTTTTATCAATTTATCAATGTATATAGTGAATTAATATATATGTGTATGTATGTGTGTGTGTGTGTGTGTACGTACTGTGTATATAAAATATTGAATTATTCGAATAATAATTTTCATTAATCATATATATTTATCGATACTTTGAATCTTATTCTTAATTTA